ATTGATGAAATAGGGGTCCCTATGTCCTCCAGCAGTCTAAGCCTATAGCAGCATCACTATAGAGTGCCCTCTCTATGATGATTTCCAGCAGGAAACCCCTCTGCATTTCTCTTCTGTTGCCTGTTCAGAGTGAAGGGGATGCTGTAAAGTTATCTTTCCAAACTAAAACAGCAATGAGTGTTTGGTTTCAGATAGCTGGAAGAAAGTGAAACCCAGTAGATTCCTAATTGGATATATTTTTGCATTTAAGATTGAAAAATGGAATAAAACAACATTTTTTTATTTTATGCCCTCTTTAGGGACACTGGAGAAGCTGGTGCTCATTGTGGAGCAGCAGCAGTATCACATGACCTCCAAAGGACTCACTGGGACCAGACCCACGTCTGATGGGGAGGAACCAGAGGCTGGAGTCCTGATGAGCAGAGAGGAGCTGCTGCAGCTCAGGGGAAAGACTCAACTGTGGCCCCTGATGGAGGGACTGTCGGCCCTCAACCAGCTGCGGCTCTGCACAGACCTGCTGCTCCTGGCTCTGTCTCCGGGGTAACCTGCCCGTTTTCTTTCTGCTGATCCAAATGTCCAAAGTGTGACTTTGTTGGAAACAGCTGTGGTTTGTCTCGTTGCCTTAGCGACCACAATGCGGAGGCCTGCTTACGGCGGCAGCTTTCCAGACATCTTCGCTTCTGCCTTCAGTCGACGCCGATGAATGTGGGGCAGCTGCAGTGTCTGTGGTTCCTGCTGAGCAGCGACGGGGTCAGTATTCATTTTACAACGTTCTACCAAACCCTGTCTCTGTTATTAGAGGGTCGCTCTAACCTGCATGGAGGCTGTGTTTCCACTCTAGTAAAACAGCCTCCAAACACATCAATTGTGAGGCTACCGTCACACCTTGCTGATTTATCCGGACGTCCCAGAATCTCCTAAAACGCTGTCATACGCTGAACTTTCTATGGATTTTATTTTTATTTTTGGCGTATACATAGAGTATTCATAATGAGTCCAGAACTTCTGTCCAACGACAGCCTAACTTCTGCATAACGCACGGCATCGTAACGCCCATGGAATGATGCACAAGCCAGTTCCTGAGGGGGGCAGCGATGCGCCCGGCCTGCAGCAAAAACATTTATCTGATGTCGCTATTGACCTAGCTGCTGTTTACCGGCCGCCAAAAAAAGAATAAAAAATAAGAATAAATAAAGAAGGTTTTTGGTGTCGTCAGATTCAGTGTGTTGGTGGTGGGCGTGAACGCAGGGAGGATCCATCACCCTCACCTTCTGGCTCACCCTATGATGGGGATGAAGTGTGG